ATTCTGGCAAAACATATTAATACGATTGAAAATAAAAATAAATTAGTACCATACGTTTCTTAATAATAGTTATTATTCATTTATAAGATAATAAAAATTGTCATTTTTTTTTACCTAGTTTTATATTAAGAAAACATGATAATAAAATTAGAACAAATTAATTGTAATATACATTTCTTAATAACATATATTATTCTTTAAGTTATATAATAACAATAATAAAAATTATAAGGGCTTTGAAAACAGTTCAACATGTTTATCAATATATTGAAAAATCGAACTACATAATATTATAAAAAAAAAAATCTCAATTTAATTTTTAATCTCTCTTGCTCTGAATCTCTATTTAATTTTACTTGGTATCCATCCATTAGTTAGAGATGACCAGTTAACTGGGCGGACTGTGGCTGTCAGGCCTCCATGGTGACCCTTGACCTGTCCGCCAAAAACTAAAGGTCGGGCTCGTGAACCGGTCCTGTCCCAACCCGATCCCGACACTGAAACCGTACCACAAGGGCACGGTCTCAATTCTCGGAACTGCAGCTTTTCAGGGCAGTTGCGGGCCGGGCCGGGACTGGTCTGGTGCGGTCCGGCCCGCGGCCATGTCCACCATTAGTTAACGGGAGAAAGGTTGCACCATTAATTATTTTTTAACAACCCAATAGCAAGTACAAAAGCCCGAAACTCGTAAAAATGGGGCTTAAAAAGTCAAAAACAAAGCAATCATTAAGCAGAGGAAACAAACAAAATAATTAGGATAGCAAGCATCACATCACGCGTGAAAAATGAGTATTAAAGATATTTTCACAATGGTACAAAGACAATTAAAAAATCTTCACCTACCACACTATGTGGTGAATATTTTATACACCTATCTTCAAAACAAATCTTCTTGTTGGTGTACTAACTCAGGATACACAAAATACACAATCTGCTTCAAGTCCTTCAACGGCTCTTTTAGGAAGGCATGGCCCTCAGTTGCTGCAACATACAAAATATAGTGTTTCAATGTCGAGTAAATTAATATGACTAAAGGTGAAAACGAGCTAAGGATGCTAACTATATGAGACTCGAGACTTGACGAACTGAACTCGATCATTTGCGAGCCAATCTATAGGAAACTGCATAAAACTCCCTGTTTTTGAGTCTTAAGGATCCAACTCACGAGCGGCTAACTTCATTTAGGAAGCGATTGGCAAATGAATAAAACCGGTTTTGATCGATAGGATAATTTTATTACAACATGTAATTCAAAATCCAAGTCAAATTTAATCCAACTTAACTCTCCTTATAATATTATCAGTATAACTAAACAATTTCAATCAGTCATCCACACGCATCAAAACAACTTTAATTCACTATTCATCATTTCACATATTTTTAAATATGTATCATTTTCAATAATCCCTTTCTCTCATACTTTTAGATCACATCAACTTTAATCACTTCATTTTAAATATTAATTAAATACAAAATAAAAAAATCTCATTCAATCCTCAACTCAATCAACATTTTTTAAAATGAAACTCAATTTAACTCAAAATTCAATCAAAACCGGTTATAATTTATACTCAATCAACATTTTTTAAAATGAAACTCACTTTAACTCAAAATTCAATCAAAACCGGTTATAATTTATACCCAATCGCCACCCTTTAACAGCTCTATCCATGATTCAATCTAAAATTGAAATTATAACCTGAAATCAAATAAAACAACATAAAAGAAAACAAAATGTGATTTTTTTTTCTACCTCTGATAAGCAGCCGAATCTCCTTGGAGAATGTCTCCACATGGCCTAATACAGGCCTTATGCCACAAACTTGTATAACACAGAACTCCAAGTACAAGGCCATGACTGTGATTTGCAGCAATAAGAGGCAGACCTCTTGTACTTCAGGTGCAAGCTGTTTTGTCTTGTTGGCTTCACATAATTCGGTAATTATGGCAATCCCTTGATCCTGAAGTGCCAAAAAAAAAAAAAAGCAAGCATCACAAAGAGAGTTTTATGAGGAGGTTAGATTAAAGTCCGGGATGTCGAATCAGTAAGCTCTACCATAAAATCCGTACCAAAGAAAGATAAGAAACGTCGAGGCACAAAACAAAGAAAAATGACACAAATTGATAAAAAGGGTAAATCAAAACACATAGTTAACTCGCTTCGAAATTACAAGAACCTCCCTCAAGGATACCCAAATAATAATCACCCCATTTGGTGATTTGTATGCATTCAAAGGACAGATTTCTAAGTTTGAAGGATGAAATAATTTTTTTGGGATAAATTGCATTTTTAGTCCAGGTGGTTAACGTTATATCAATTTTAGTCCCAAGATTCTACCATATTGTCTTTTAGTCCTGTAATTTAATATTCTGCTGCAATTTCAACCCTTTAGGACTGAAATTGCAACAAATTCCCAATTTATATCTTTGGGATGGATTTTTCATTAGCAATTTAAGTACTATAGTTTAAAATTTTATTGCAATTTCAATCCATTAATTTAAAATTTTGTTGCAATTTCAGTCCTCAAAGGACTGAAATTGCAGCAAAATACCAAATAACAGGTCCAAAAGGCGAAAAGTTGGAACCTTGGGACTAAAATTGCTACGGCATTAAACCAACAGGACTAAAAACGCATTTTTGCCTTTATTTTTCAAAATTTAACTGAATATACTTTTAGAGGAGTTAGTGCAGAAAAAAGCAAGCAACAGAAAACTTTCACCTGCAATCCATGTAAAATGTCAGGCACTGGCAGCTCAGGGAAATGCGCGTGGTCAACAAAACCAACCTCCTCGGCCTTCCTGGAGGCACTCTCGGCTTGCACACACAAAAACTTCAAAAGAAGAAAAGCAATCCTGTACATCTCGATTGCAATCAAGTCCGAGAGATACGTCTGAGCACATGAATCCCCACCATTTCTCAACTGATCCCTCGAGACGAGAGCAGAACCCAATCCAGACGATGTGGGCCCACATTTAGTATCCAGCTTGCTCCCGAGAGCCGACAGAGCAAACCAACCATTTCTGCTGTTAACAAAAGATTTCTCCTTGTACCAATCGAATTCTTCCCCTATCACGGGGAAGCACAGCAGAGGAGCATCTGTCCTGGGTGAATCCCCCAGGCGCTGAGTTGCCCGGCTTATGAAGGCCAATAAATGGATCCCTTTTTCTCTCAGCCCAGATTCGATATTCTGCACGAGTTTCCTCCACGAATTTGAATATCTGGCGAGGACACAAAGAAGAGCCAGAGTGTATCGTGTCTCTTTGAGCTCGCTCAACGAGATATTTGATTTCGAGGCTCGGGCCCTTTTACTTTCATGAACCTCGCTCGGAAAATCTGGCGCACTAAGGTAATATGAAACCAAGGACGAATTCTCGACCAATATGTAAGTCATCACATGATCGACAATTCCGGTGGAATTTATATCCCCCAGAGATTGAATAATTGCTGTGATTAGAGAAAGGCTCAGTCCCCATAATAAGGGTCGACACTTTTCAGCTTTGTCCGCGAAAAAAATTCGCTCACCTCGGATGAGAGAGAAAGGCGGCCCGTCGCTTTCAGAATATTCAGACAGCAGCGTTCTTATCGACAAAAGGATCCCAGCATTTAAAAGCATCTCGGCAAAGTGTCGAACTCGGGCAAGGTTCAAGAGAAATTTCAAAATAATCGGAACTGTTCCGGACGAATTTCGCTCGTGAAGCCTCCGGACAATATGCTGAAGAGGTAGATGTTTCTGCACAACTGGGGTCCACGTGGAAGATGATGAGAAGACTTTCAGAATTAAATCGACGGCGGTTAAGGACAGAGAGCAATTGTTGGTAGGATGCTCGATGCATTTACACAGGACAGGTAATAATATCCCCAGACATGAATTAGAAACCTCACTAGAATTCTCGAGGGTTTCGATCCATGTTGCTTTGCCGGAACTGAAATCCTTGAATGTCAACTCGATGGAAATGAGAATCAACATGAGGAAAACTTTCATGGCTGTTCGAACAGCAAGTGATTGTGTGTGGTGATAACTGCACAGCACTTTGAGAGCATGGCCTGAGGTATTGAAGATGAGAATAAGAGTGGAATGGGGAATATTATGGGTCAGAGATTTTGTGAGAAACAGCAGTAATTCTGCTTGGGCTGTAAGTATATGAAGAACTTCTTCACTAGCATCAGAAACAGGGGTCAGTAGTTCTAGTGTGGGACCAAGGGAAGAACATATGTGGTCAATGCATAATACAACTATTGGCTTCGACATCCTCATACCAGCTGAAGCTTCATTTTCTGATAGCTGCACAAGGAATATTGCAAATTTTCAGTGAGAAGCTCTAATACATTATTTGTATAGGAGAGTTATAATATAATCCAAAACCTAACAGAAACAAGAGAAACAATGGTCAATATTAAAAACAAGAAAAAGTGCATCCGAATTCCGGAAGTTAAATTATAGCTGAAGTTCACGGAAAAAACCGAGAAATCTGTGAATTAAGAAAATATAATTATGATGGCTGATTCTATAGTATTAAACAAGTAGAATGAGTGCAGAAGTTTAAGTTATGCAGCATTTTAGATATATTAAAGTAAAGATATCTCTGAAAACCCACGTTGTCTCCATGCATATTGAAAAGGGTAATTAGTCCTCTTAAAGCCGACAGCTTGGAATTTGAGTACATCCTACTTGAGTTCCAATCTTGCAAGCAATGCAACATAGATTGAGCTATTTCTTTAGATTCTTTCCACGCTAACAGATCCCACATCTCTAATCCAAGGTCTGCTCTGATGCGAACAGTGTCATACAGATAGACGCTCTTGATGCTCGGTGAAAGATAAGTATCTTGTTTATATTTATAAGCATTCAAAAACTTGGAATCTAACAAATACTGCAGCAGCTCTTTAAATGGTCTGTAGTCAATTTGACGGCCTTCAAGCTCTCCTTGGATGTGGTAGAACAAATCGCTAAGTATTAAATTCTCCAACTCTTGACCACCACTGAAAATTTATTAAAGATAAAAGAGAGGTATAGTTAGAGATATATCAAGAGTAGTTGGCATAGGAAGCATATAACCAATGGAAAACTGAATAATTCTGGAAAATGTTTTGACAAAAGAACTTGTTATGATAGTAAAAATAACTACCAAGTAAAAGGATGTAAATAATTCAGGCAGGTAATCAAAACCAATAGAACAAACTGTATCTGTATAGAGGATAAGGTCTTACATTCCATCAATTTGTTAACAGTTTCAAAATGAAAAGACCATCGTTCAGAAGAGCCACGGAAATAATGTACTCCCCATTTCATTTCTGGTAACAGTTTCAAAAATGAAAATGAACGGATAAGAAACGTAACCTGTAACCACGCTCTCCATACTGAGTTAATAATTCTGAAAAGGCAGGTAACTTGCACAACTGCACATGAGAACACCGAAATTGAAGTTCAGGAGTCAATCCTCCAATGTGCTGACGGCAAATAGAATTATAAGCAAGTATAATAAATTTCACGTTTTCATGCACTGCAGCAAAATGGTATCTAAATGCAGATTTTTTTCCTCGAAGAGTGATTATTGTTGGTGATGTTAATAAGAGAAGAATACTAAAACAAATTTGTAATCCCATCTTTCTTTCTGTCTGAAGCTGAGAAGTAAGTGATTCATGATTCCCTCTTTGCTTTTTCTGTTTCTTGTGTGAATTCGCTGAATTCCATTGTTCATCCAACATAAAATGAAAGATGACAAAAATCAGGTGATTAAGCAACTTATATATACGAGGATGGAGAGCATATACCTCTTGGGACAAAGTATCAAGCCTTTTGATTAGTGAAACGGAAAAGCTACCCTTCTCACCATTTCTTAATTTCACCATTGCATGAACAACAAATAAACTAGCAGCAATCTGCAACAACAATAGAAATATCACATTTTTTGTTATCAAAACTGTTCAGTGAAATATTGAACAAACACTCTACAGACAAATGCCTCGATAAGGTACAAAAGGAACAAGCACAGCACACCTTTGCACGGTCATGACCGTTGTTATCATGTTCCCAAGAAACAAATGCCTTGATAAGGTCGCTCAACAACGAACTCTTACACCAAGTCGATATGATCTCCTTCAGGTCTGAAACAACCTTTTTTTCTGTCCCATTAATTGGAGACTTAGAGATTCTGTTGACAACTATCTCAGCGTGCATCAATTTCTTTTGCAGGAAAATTTCATAATTAAGTATATCCAATACAGCTGACAGGACTTGATATCTATATGCTGTGTTTTGAATTTTCTTTTCGGTTGACTTATCAGATAAATTGTCTTGATCGTTAGAAAACATCACAACGGGGTTGGTCAGTTGTTTCCAGAATTGGTCCGAGGATTTTAACTGCTCCAGAATTTTTGTGAACTGAGGTGCACCTTGCCACAAGGCACTCAGCAAGTTCAATAAGCATAACAATATATTGGGTTTCCTGAAAGGGGTCCCAATGAAATCAATACACTTCATCTTTCAAAATAACAACGATACAGTAAACTCGTATATTAAACACGCTGGAAGCATACCTCTCGAATAAATCATCGGTCCTTTTAAGATACTGAATAATTGCAGACAAACAGCTTTCTTCCTTAGAATCTACCGATCCATTCTCATTTTGTTTTGGCTGATGCTCAGAGTCATCATTACGCACTTCAGCTTTCAAACTCTCTTCAGACGAGAAGAGAACAGTTATAAAAGCAGGCTGCATTTAGTAAAAAGACTAGCATCAACAGAGCAAAAAAGAAAAAAACACAACACAAATTGAAGTAATAATCAAAATAAGATCAAAATGTAATAAGGATTATTGAATCTTTCACTCTTGAAGCATCTGACTAAAAAATAAAAATCAGCATATCTTGCGGGGAACTCCTAATCTAACACTGTTAAGAACGGCAAGAATCTGATGAGTAATGGAGGCAAATCATACTTATTAAGTATATAGACTATTAATTAATCTTCATGTATATAGACTGTCAACAAATCTTCATGTATATGGACAGTTAAACTAATTTTCAGGTATATCACATATGTGTGCCTATCAGCTTGCAAGCTAAACACCGCATAGCTAAAAAGACAAATTGTACAACTACATCACAAAGATAGTGCTGAGTCAGTTGTGATATACACTATATGCATACTGCATAACAACATGAAGCTTGAAAAATGTTTTGCAGATCTATAACAAATACAAGCAATAAACAACTACGAGGAAAATCTTAGAAAATTGTAAGACTCATATGACTTGTTGAAAATAGCAATACAGATAATAACCATTTCTTGCATTAATTTTCACATACCAAAATGATGACAAGCAATTCGACCTCATCAACGGTTATATTATCAACTAACCTGATTCTGTGCCGCAGAAGTTAGGAGGTTCAAAGTAGAAACAATAATATCCTCGGCCCAAGGCGTCTGCTTAGATAGAATGGTACAAACAGCATTTCTAAAATTGGCAATCTACAACATGAAATATATTGAATTAGGAGTCCAACTAGAAAATTTCCCAGATTAAAATTGGTGGAAAAATCAGCAACCACCAGACCTCCTTCTCATCCAAACTGAGACTCGCATTAGATTGCGATAAATCTGCAATAAATAACAGCGATAGCAACCTTGCAGCACCTACTTGTATATTCTGAAGAAACAACAGAACACCAGAGGTAAAAAGAATGAAACTTAACTAGATCACCAGTAGACCAATCTTCACGGAACAAACTTATACAAAAATTGTCAGGCCACAAGATTCCATGAAGCAAACAGAACAACTGGAAGAAATGTTACAAAAGGCAAACCATCTCATGACATCAAAATTATAAAGATATTGATAAGAATGAAAGGATGGCATGTTTAGCCAACATATCGTTAAATTAAATTCATGTTGCTGAGGTGAAAAATCTGTGTGACAAGTACACAACAGAGAAAAAAAAAAAAAAANNNAAAAAAAAAAGGCAATATTTCATCCATATGAGACATAAAAACTATAAGAAGATAGGAGAAAAACCTAACACGGAAGCAATAGCAAGTGAGAAATAAAAAACATACAGCGTCTCGAGAGTATGATATTAAAGACGTGGCAGCAGAGATCAATGGTACTGGCTTTATCATTGGTGATAGAATTGCTTGATGAAAAACTGAAAGACTTGGTGAATCCTGACAAAACAACAATATAAATTTACACGAGAGTAACAATGCAGAAGGTTTGCAACCATAAACACAGCAATAAACATTAAAAGGGGGAATGGACTGCTAAATTACCTGCCGCTCTAGGAAAAAATGTTAGAAGGAAGCACAGTCACTCCTTTAAACAACTAAATAAACAAATATCTACAGCCCATATCCCAACCATTCAAAAGAAAAAAATTATCCAAACAATTCAGCTTTGCATTTCCTTAGATATGCCAGAGTATGTAAAAGATTAAAAAATGCTAGAAATTTGAAGAAAAATCAGTATTCGGGATTTCAGTGCAATCACCAAAAAAAATAGCAGCTAAGGAATACAAATATTGTTCTTATCCACTTTTCTGTTGCAGTTTACACGAATTAGAAGCTAGAGATCTACAAAATCTTTAGAAAATGTGATTCCCTTAAAATATTGTGGGAATCCGCTTCCAGTACTGCAATTATATCAAAATTTCTCCAAGGTTTCTAGTGGAAGATGCAAATAAGAAAATATTCAAGTAAACATCTTATAACATATAAGAACGCTAGAGGAAACACGTACCTTCGAGAAAGCAGACATCATACCAGCTAAGACATCCAAGCCACAGGATATAGCTAGTTGCAGACCTTCAATATCCACTATGTCTAGAAGACGAGAAACATAGAGCTTCTGAAGGTTAAGGGAAGAAAAAAAAAATGAGGTCAAATACAATAACAGAGAATCATACTCTGAACAGATCGGAAGATTTTTAAGGAATCAACACATCAGCTTCAACCTCTAAGTTCGCTGTAGTTGTACAAACAATTCGAAGAAGTGAAGAGTGGACGGAAGAATCACAAAGCATAATATCAGTAACAACTTCTCCCAGTTTTTGACAACTGGCCAGAGAAATACATTTCTTCATGACTTCAAGCACCTAAGCAAGAAAGTCAAACAAGACGTCAGTGGGACCAAGGCAATTGGAGGTACTTTAGGGACTTATTAACGCTAATGTAATTTAAAAAATATGCATAACAAGTGGAGATTCTAGATATAGGTCTTTTCCATGGTCTCTAGTAATGTTTTAGTAGATGGCTAAATATCATGTACTCGGGGAAAGCATTATGAGGTAATATCAAAATATGATCAATGATTTCTCTAGGAGAAGAAAAATTAAATAAAATAAGATGGCCTTCATGCTCTTCCAAGAAAAATTCCATGGCTGTGTTTCTTTCCCATCTTGTTCCAATATCAAAGTATATATACATTTGTTTGTTTCATATCATATTACGGAGTAAACTAAAATTACTGCAAGGAAACATCACAGTTTTTCATTAGGAGAGAAGCATGCCATCCATACCTTAAGGGTCACCTTCCACCGAGCATGCTTCACCTTGTATTTCCAGAATTCATGATTAACAAGAACATACTGAAGGGAGAAAACAACGAGTGCAAGGACACTATCAGTTTCTGATTCAGTATCCAGAAGATTCGTTGTTAAGTCCAGAACTGCACAATATGAGAAATTGTGAACAATAAGAACGTTATGCATCAAGTGATATGATATCAACAGATTATTTGCTTGGTGCGATGCTTTTGATGGAAAAGGGTAAACTTTGTGTATTCCATGGTAGAATTAAAGGGGAAAAAAAAAATTTGTCTATGTGCAAAAATAGTGCAAGTGACAAATATGTAGGCTGTGATTGCTTGGCTTTTGTTCAAATTAATAATTATTTTTGGAGAGCTGTGCATTAAAATTATTTGGAAAAATAGTTGATGTGATTTTTTTAGCAAATTTCGTGGTTGATTCCGATGGGTGATTGAAAATGTAAGACTGCATACAGAATACTTGATGTGATTTTATCTTGATCAAAAGATTATATAACCAATGACTGATAAGGAGTGAATAGTATATAGTATCGTGAATAGTATATAGTATATATATAATTTTTGAACAGTAACATTGGACAAATAAAGATCATAGAAAATCTTAGAAAATGAGATGCAAGCAATGATAGACATCACTATCTCTAATATATATAAATAAATATATATATCTATATATATATATAAAGAGGGAGTTGATGGAATTGAGGTTACTAATAATAAATGTAAACGCTTCTTTTGGAAATGGTATCAACAATATTTTTGGAAACAAATATATAATTAGTATGTTTGTCTTTTTAGTTTATTAAATCATTCATGATAATTAATTATCAATTTAATATAGAATGAGTATCTTATATGACTTGATAACTAATGATTCTCATAATTAAATTTGATTTTTAAATGCATTGTAGATAGCGATAGAATATATTTATGAATCACAAAAGAAAAGTAAATAATCATTGAGAAAAGTAAATAATAGTGTAGATTTTGAATTGATTCTCAATATGTTTAAATAAACTAAGAAATTACAAAAAAAAGTAAATAATCCAATTTTAGGTATAGGATTTATTATGGCGACGTAAAAAAATAATACTTAACATATATATTGACATATAAGTTTTTTTAGGACAAGCACACCCAAATCATTTGATACCATAAAAATATTTAATAAAGATTAATTATTGATATAATTAGTCCTAAACATTTGGAAGGTAATCTAAAATTATTCACTACCCACAATATAAGTCGTGCATATGCAAATGGTGAATACATGATAATGGTGAATGCTGGCAAAATTTCAAAAATGATACACCAAGTTGAGCGTTGTCAACAAAATAGATATTTTGTTGTTCCTCGCGGAAAAGAAACATGTAGTTGGCGATTTGGTCGTAAAAAATATATTAATCACCCCACCTGGATAAAAAAGCTGGCATGGTCGAATGAGGTAGTGACGTGACATTATAACTTTCTTTAGTTTCTTTGGCGTGATGTGACATCATTATCTCCAAATACACAACTACACATAGATATATAAAAATAAAATAAAAATAATCCAAAACTAAATAAATATAAAGACACATCAACAAAAAAATAAAAATAATTATAATAATACTAAAAGTAAAAAAATAGAAAAATTAAAAAAAATCCAAACCCAAAAAAATATATTTCGTTCTATTTCCTAAACTATATATTAATAAAATATTCTAAACCTTATAATTCATTAATATATATTAAAAATTATTAAAAAAAATAAAAATACTTTGTTAATATTTTGTTAATATTTCGTTAAATATAAATATATTCGCTAATATATATATAAATATTTCGTTAATAATAATAATTATATATAATTTATTTTTAATTATATTATCTAATATAGTAGTTTACATAAAATTTTATTTACTTAATATATATAAGTATTAAATATAATTCACAAAATATAAACTTATATTAAAAAATATATTTTAATTTATTTCAAAAATATATATCTAAAATAATATTTTTAAATTTATTTAAATATAAATTTATATTTATATTTAATATACTTATATATATTAAATAAATAAAATATTATGTAAAGTATTATATTTGATAGTATAATAAATTATATATAATTATTATTATTAATGAATTTCATTTTGCTTTTTTAGTATTTTTTAATATATATTAGTGAAATATATTTATATTAAACGAAATATTAACGAAATATTTCTTTATTTTTTAATATATATTAACAAAATATTAATTTTTTGAATATTTTATTAATATATAGCTGACAAAATAGAACGAAATATATTTTTTCTATTTATTTTTATTTTTTGGGACTCCTGTCATGTTGCTGAGAAACATTGATCATTCAATTGGACTGTGTAATGGAACACGCTTGGTGATAACGAAACTTTTCACTCACGTGTTTGAATGTAAGATTCTAACAGGATCAAATGGTGGACATAAGGTATTGGTATCAAGACTTTCCCTAACTCCATCTGATCTCATGATACCCTTCAAGTTCCAACGTAGACAATCTACTCTTATGTTTTCTTACGCAATGACAATCAACAAGAGTTAAGAGCAGTCGTTACCATGTCGGACTTTACATGAAAAGACTGGTGTTTATTAGTCATGGTCAATTATACGTTGATGTGTCTCGAGTCACTAATCCACAAGATTTAAGATATTAATATGTGAGGGGACGACAATGGGGAAAAGAAAACTACTAAAAATGTTGTCTATCAAGAAGTTTTTCATAATTTGTAATACCATATAATATTGTACTTTTACTATCTATTCAATAATAATGTTATTTATTTGTCATTTACTTTTTATGATATATATATATATATATCTATATATTTTAATGTATTTATTAAAATATTTTAATAAATATGTTCCGTGCATCGCACGGGTGAAGATACTAGTATATATATATATATATAGTGAGCAAAGATCAGAGAAGACAGCATCTATTCACCATCAGACCTATCTCAAATACGAGTAGGCAACCACAGGAAAATGAGCATTGACAAGGATATGCAGGTTGGGGGAAAGCGGTAGAAAATATAGATTAACTATAAAGAAAATGAAAACCAACTGAAAAATAAATAAATGACGAGAAAATAGTTCACAAGGGATCAGCAGTAAAGACAAACACCAAATCTAAGCCCAAACAGAAAGTAGCTACATAAATCAAATACATGCCTGCCACAGTCATTGAGCAATCACTCTGCTCACAATCAATCAAAAGCATTTTGGCAAGTCTTCCAGAAAGCAACCAGGATCCACTGGAAAGTTCATTAAAAGATAATGTCATCTTTCCATTAAAAAATAATGTCAAGGCAAGCATTTCACTGTCACAGTCATGCTTCTATCAGAAAATAATCCAACATAGGGATTAGAGACAGGAATAAAGAAACTAAATGAACATTATAAGATTGAATTAAACTACCCTAGAATAATCAACTCAACAAAACAAAAAGCTTTTCCCCATAAAAATAATACCCACAGTTGTATGTTGAAGCAGAATAAAACTGACTGAATATACATGATACAAGTTGCACTCCACGCATGCAATCGAATGCAATCAATGAACTTTTCATTATACGCTTTAGACCCCCACACTACAGAATATCCAAGAAAGTTAACCTTGATAAACTGTTGGAGCCCACATCAGAAGGGTTTGTCCTAAAGGCAACATCAAATATGTTTCCCTTCACGGCCATTGTAGCTACCCGAGATGGCATGCTGCAGCAAACAAATACAAGAGAAGAGATTAAGAACCAGATGGCATGATTCACAAAAGCAACTGATATGCAATACAATATAAATATATCAATTTGAAAACCATATTCAGGTTTGAAATGATAAATTATTTCACCATATATATCCTGGGACCCCGGGTCCACGTGCGCCGGGGAAAAAAAAAAAGAGAGAAAAAAAGCCAGATAAAATTTTCTTGGAGAAAATGCTTGCAACACAAAGGTCAAATTTGGTAGAAATCCTCCAGACACATATCCATCGGACATTTATATTTCCATCTGAACAGATGACAAACTATAAATTAACGCAAAAGGTTACCATTGCAACATTTTTGTTAATATATTAACCCCCATGGACATCATTACTGCACCATTCACGCTGGGGGAAAGGCTTTTCACCAGAGCACAAACAATCTCAACCACATCAATGCTGCAATCAAAAAATATATTTGCAACTCAATGAACATGTTAAATCCAAAGCTGCCCAAAAATGTTAAATTACAAGATCATACCATGCATATGTCTCCTGGCTCCCGAAAGTAGATTCTTTGTGAAGGGAATTCCAGGGATTCATAAGAGAATAACAAACAGCCTAACAAAAGTATGTAAGTGTCCATATCAACAATCAATTGCAAGTAACATTTAAAAAGATGTTTCTTCCTACATCCATTTCCGTAGAACCATCACCCAACCCTTCTATTTCATGGGATTTTTAGCAGATTAGCGACAAAAGTTTTTTTGACAAGTAACATCTTCAGGAGAAGTTGAAGGTAATGTAGGCAGATAGGCAATAAATCAGTATTGTCAAAACACATCAAGCATAAGAAAGTGCAAAATCAGGGTAATAAGACAGCCACACAGCTGAAATCTAAAGTGAAAGCCGGGCTGCTGAGAGATAAGTGACTATCAAATAAAAGCAATTAGGCAAGTCATACGTTAAACTTCTCAATCTTATGAACACAAAGACAAAACAATGAAAAACCAAAATATATGTTACCATATTAAAAGTCACCAATCGACTCAGCAAATCAAGAATAACAATGAGATCCTGAGAATTTTGCATACGAAGCTCTTGAGCCAAACGCATAAGCAGCACAAGCACCCCAGACTCTGTGTACTGCAGAGAAGACAAGTAAAATAAACATGAAAGCTAAAAAAGTAGGAGAGTGAATAAAAAAATAATGTTTAAGAAACTTTAGTTTTAAACTTTTATGAGTCATAATCTGCACACAATTATGTCAACAAAGGGAACCACTGTCAGCATTTCTGCTATATCACATCATTAATGAGATAAGGCCTATTAAGCAGCAGACCTTAACATGAATTGTGAGATTGTTAATTCATATCAGGACAAATAACTAGAGCTCATTTATATATATAACATGAAAAATAATTACGCATATAAGAAATACACCATTAACCGCATATAAGAAATACACCATTAATTAAAAGCCGTTGAAAAATGGGATTGGATAGAACTCATCCCCAAAAGCCAGCTCAAAGGGAGAGAATGACCAACCCTCACGCTTACACAATAACAGTCTACCAACCAATCAATGTGGGACAAACACAACTTCTAATATCCGCCCTCACAAGTAGGATGCCAATCCAAGAGGGTCAGGTGCAACCCAACATTACCTCCAAGCAAACAAACTAGGGTACTCGGATACCATGATATATGGGCTTGAGTAGAACTCATCCCTATTAACTAGCTCAAAGGGAGAGGGTGCCCAAACATAACTTATAATTATAATAGCCATAATACAACATTACCACAAATCTACTGACCTGTTGACACACTTAAATATTTATCACAAAATTCGACAGCATAAGACAAATGCATGATCCTTAGGAAATACTATTATAAACAGCTCACTTACCTCCCACCGTACCAGGGCACAGTTTTCATCAATCATTCTCAAAACTTGACCCTTAGATTTGCTAGGTATGACCAAGCCTTCAGCATCAGCAACATGCAATGGTGAATTTGTTTCGACAATCTTTGAACTAGCATCTAGAACAGCATCTCCTCTAAGCCCAACAGGTGTTGATAGCCCAACAGACTTATCAAGAAAATTAAATCTGTTCAAAAGTTTCCAGAAACTTGTGGGAAAATAGTTCAAAATAAAACAAAAATCGGAGACATACTAATACAACCTTAATTCATCATGAAAATAATATGTTACGCCTGAAGTTACAAAGGTGACTCATAGAGACTAAATTGATTACTAGAGACAATATACTTTTCCAGTTATATCCAATTCAACTCAATTAAAACTGCAAAATCCATTGAACTCTATAAGCTTCCTAATACAAAAGTCAAGCAAGTTTCACTTACACGCACACTATAAAAAATAAGCAAGTTTCACTTACACGCATTCTGATGGCCACGCGCCTTCGCAAAGGGCTGACAACAATCTTACAAGCTCAACATTCCTGAAAGGGAATTCACCTTCTAGGTTGCAGAGAAGACACCTGACAGGACCATCAATGAAACTGTCCTTATCCCAAAATTGAATACAAAGAGACTCCTGCAAGAATTAAAGTCGCATATATGAATTATATAGATTGAATGGATCTCATTCTTTAACATAATAAAATCATTAAACAGACCTCGCCTCGATAGATCTTGCACAGTATTTCCAGTATTAATTTCAAATTATCATCCTCGAACTGCAAGACGTGGAAAGAGGGTATAACCAACCACATGAATAGTAAAATGTATTGATTATGTGCTTCTGCCAGTGGAATACCTGGAGACTGATCTCGTAAGATGCAATAAAGGCCGATATGAATGTTCTCAAAACACTACAATAGCCTGCCACAGGACCCTGGTAAAAAGTGGAGGAAAGAGTATCACCCATACAATAAAAAGATAAAAACATTAAGGAATTCAAGCATCAATGTTACTTAGTAAACTGGAAATACGACCACAAAAAAACATTAGAAATAAATATTACTCACATCTGAATACTTTAATGTGTCACTTTGTAGAATCTCAAGAAAATATTCCAATGATGAAGCTTCAAAAGCTTGACGAACATAACCAACATGATCTATCTCCTGTTATGAATTGATGCATTAAAAACTCCAACGAAGTAGCTAATGAATAAGGCAAGCTAAATTGTGATTGTTAAACATCTTAGATCAAACCATGTACCATCAGCAAAACATTTTTCTCTTTCTCTGGGAGAGCAGAAATGAGACATAGAAACACAGCCCAAGAAAGGATCAAAGGGCCTTCTTCTTTGGCCTCAAAAGCATTAAAACCCGAAATCACTGAATCCAGTTGTTGAACATCCATCTCCGAAAAGCCAATAGAACCCTGCCTGAGCAAGAATATGGCAACATGTCAGTTATTATAGATAACTGAAATGATACAAAGTGCACATACATCATGCTAAGTGGAATGTATTTAGAACTTAAAAGTCAACTAAACTACATAAGTTTCAGTTACATCTTGTGTTATTCACTTATTTGACACTCTTTGAAACATAAGTAGTTATCGGACCAAACATGACCTTCAAGTGCACTCATATGCTAAAAATATTCAGATAATTGTAACCGGAGATGGTCATCCATGGTAAATCAAATAAATTACAAGTATCTGTATATTATGTAACATGTTCAACCCATTTTTTCCAGGATAGTTGTACCTTATACCATCAAAATTTTACAAGAATAAATGATCAGGAAACCATGTATTAGAATTCATATCTAAACTTTCTAACAATTCAAAAGTGAACGCAATGAACAACTGTGTACAATCATATTCACTAACAAGAAACAAACCAATACCACCATCAACACGATAATCAGAACAATGACACTGTTGGAAGTACCCATTTAACAAATCGAGTTTAGTGAATCTTACAAGAATAATGGCCAGGCAGCAGGATTTATTTCTAAAATTCATAGAGACGAGCCATGTTATGAAATAACATTAGATAATAGTGAATAAATTGATACGGCGTTAACTAAAATGTAAATCTTGCATCCAGCAAGCAGTGACTCCAAAATCTAGCAAGTCCCACAGATAAATAGTCTCGGAAGCATCCGATCATAAAAGGACTTGAGCAATGAAGAATGTTTCATTTTATGAGCGCTACAAACACTTGATGCTCTTTCAAATCTCCAAATTCATTTCACAATCTTCTATGGTTCCGACTCCTTTAACTGTTGAAAAACTGTATCTATAGTCTGTACTTAAGGCAACAGCAAGGATCACATAGCATTGCATTGAAGAAGGTCCAAATATCTGGTATTGCCCAACTAAATAACACAAAGTAAAGCAACTGATTGGAAACTTCTGTTTAAGTCATTACTCAGTTCTTTTATCTAACAGGAGCAAAGCAGCTAAAAAACAATCACATATACAAATACTTCCTATCCAGAAAACTATGTTTAAAGAAGTGCAACAAAACCTTAATGGAATGTTGTCGTGGATCATTTGAAGGAGATTTTCAAGATTTAGACCCTCTATGAGAATAAGCAGCAGCTGCACTTTGGCATGATATATAGAACGAATAGCATCAGGTGTTATTGCCAATTTCTGGAGGTTGTAAGACCCAGTGACAATGCCCTGCATTGAGGTAAAAATGAAAAGATAAATAGATGCATGTGTGATCCAGTACAACCAGAGCGAAAGAATAAATGATCACCTTATACAGTCCACACAATTTTTTCCAGCATTTGGCGTCACAAGTACAAAATGACTCATAATAAATGAGAAAAAGAATGTCAAGGATTAGGTTGTCCTCTATTAGTGTTTCCTCAGCCCATAAAGTGTATAGGTCAAAATCCTGTAAAAAGACAAAAAAGCTCAAGATCATGGTATATGTCAAAGTTCAATTAAAAATAAAAGACGCCAAATGCATGACCCTTTTTAATATACTGTTGGGAAGACGGACAGTGGATTGCAGAAATCCAACATACAATTTTAAAATGATGCTGACATGCTAGAGTGCCAAAATTTGAAAGTGGTTGAACCTACCATATTCTCAGGGTAATTGGAAGATAAAAGATCCTGGAAGATAGATAACAATTTACATTCAAGCCCATCAGAAATCAACCTTCGTGCCTCTTCCAATACAGCCGAACCTTTATCCGATTTCGATTCAAATTGCACTACACCAAAGATATTTACATCACAACAAAAGCAGTAATAGCAAGAAATATAATAAAAGCAACAAAAAGACCAAAGGGGAAACATCTACGTATTTGTCAATTTCTACAGTACCCATATAATGCTTTCAGCAGCATCACCTATAACAAGGGTATTTCCAAATATATGAACCCATCTAGTAACAGACAGAATCTGCTATGGCGACTATTTAACTTTCAGAGTTCCAACCGAGCCTACCAATAGTAAATACCTACACCTAAAGCTTCGCTGATTTTTTTACAATCCACTAAAAGCTCCATACGAGCCTACTAATTCACCATAGGTACAATTTGTAAGTTGTGTGATATCTACTTGGATGTATATACCTCTAGTCTGGCATCATTGTGTTATGAAACCAAAAGGAAGAATACTTACAGGCATGCAGAAGTATATGCCGTGTACACTTCAACAAACATTGCCGTTCAATGTAGTACTCGAGAATAACCTAAATGGAAAAGCAAAAATGACAACTGGTGAAAGGTAAGAGATATAGCGAAAAAGATAAAAGGAAACTTTCTTCTCCAATCTGGACAAACTTCGAGATAAAACCAACAAAAGAGCACTCATTAAAACTTGCACTTTAACGACCTCAAGTGTCCAACTGAAAGTATAACACATCCTAAAAGAACAATCACTGATTCAGCCACCTTGACCCAACAACTACAATGAGGTCCGTAAACCATTTGTTGCTCCACCAATTACATGCTTTCAGATTTTACTTCAGAATCTAAACCAGCTAAAGAAGTGGATAAAGCATGTCTTACAAACCATAACACTAGCATTAACTATTGTATCCTCGCAAGCCATGATGACATACGCTAACCATGAGACAAAAAATAATAATAATTATTCCCCATGTAAAGTGATAATCATGGTGTTGCTTATAAACTGATGGAGAGGAGATCGGGGTAGACTGCTAAGAACAATAATAGATACGAAGAAGGACAGGCATACTAACCGAATTAAGAATATTTGGAAGTATATCACTGACTGCTGCATTATTGTGCTCCTGTGATCTTTTAACAAGGATATATGATTGCACTTCATCTAAACACTGACAATCAAACAACCTACATCAATGTCTCAGCAAATAAAACAGCACAGGTAACTGAAGCAGCAACTTGAACTCCATGAATGCAATAAAAATGCAAACAACTCTAAGAAGGGTAAATAAGCATCACCAATACTGAGCTAATCTTGAGAGCAGCTTGTTTCAGTTCAGGATGCACATTAAACTCGTGCGGACCAATCTTGATAGACGGCGAATCCAAGGCTTCCTTTGATTTCTGACTCGGCGGCCTGAACTTCGAAGTGGTATCCAGAAACCATGCTTGATTGTCTCTTACCTTATTCTCCTGAAACACAAACATTCAACCAATTGCAGCAAATCAACTTCTCACCATTTACAACCATTCTTCACTGAACTAAACTCATTCAATCGCACAGCACTCCCAAAAATTCAACAATTCAGCTGGGTTTAATTCACAGATTGTTTACCAGGTCCGGAGGAATTTCTGATGAAACGGAGGCACTCTCAAGCTCGGAGAGAAAGGCACTGAATGGGTCCCACCAGAGTCCGGCGTCGGCGGTTTTTGCAGCGGCGGAAGATTTCTCGGCGGCGTTTTTTGCTTCGGTTGCCGGCATTGCAGAAACTGGGATTCACCACAAGTGAGTTGAACAGATATGGGGGAAATCGATTGAAATTTGAAACCCTAGAGAGGAGGAAATTGCCCGCGCTTTTCTGTAGGCAGGGAGCGACCCAAAAAGTGCCAGGGTTTAAGCTCAGGTTTAGAATTTAACTGAGGTCCTGAGCTAGAGTAGTCTGTAGCTTGAACACTGGTTTTTAATTATTATTGATTAAATAAATAGATTAACTAGTGTGTTAAACAATAAATATACATTTAAATTTTAAAAAACAAATTTTTTCTAAATTTTTTTATTATTTCTACTATTATGCATATAATGTATCGATCTATATTTGCCCGTTAAACGGCGTATCAACGCAAATACCTAATTCGCCGAATGTCTTAATGCTCGTGTTTTCTTTTTCGCTTTTATTTCCTTTTCTGTATAATCTAAAATGAAATTACAATCTCGATATGTCATGTTACCTCTTTGTCATATTGTTAGTGAAAATCGACTGTCAAAAATTCTTTTTAAAACTTTATGTTACTATTTTTTATTTAATATTGTATTCGATAAGACTTGTTTGTACTTATTATACTAAATTTATAATTTTATTGAATATAATATGTTTGATTGATAAATTTTTTTAATCGATAAGTATTAATGTTATTATTTTTTCAATTGACATATAACTTTACTTTATTGAAAGATGTATGATTAAAGTTAATATTATGTAAAAGTAAGATAAACTAGTAGTTAATCACTTTATCAATGATTTATATAGTTTCAGAAGTTACAACCACACGAGAACCATAAAAAGAGTTTTCCCCTTTAGAAATGTAAGTTCCCAAGCATTAGAGGAGCCAAAGGCTCTATCCATAGACATGTCGAAACGGGCTTTAGCTCGCGGGCCGGCCCTGTCCCGTCCCGCCACGCCAAAAGGATGGATCGGGTTGTAGATTAGCAGGCCCATCAAAGAACGGGCCTAAACAGGATAGCCCGCACGGGCTGCGGGTCTTGGTGGGACGGGCCGAGCTGACCACGGGCTAACCCACCAGAAAATTAATATATATGTATGTATATACCACATATCTCACTTCTCTACAACTCGCATGCCGCAATCCCTCGTCGACCAAACTCTGAATACTCATTCAAATTCACCCAAGAAGGCAAGAAGAACACTTCACCTTGAACCCAAACCAGAGGCATTTCTCTCATCCCTCTCCTTGATGCAGATTTGAGGCGAGGGCCTCGCTAAAAGCTCGTTGTCGGTG